ATCTATATTTACTTACAGCAAAATTATTTCCTTTTCTCAACTCTAATCTTAGAGGATCTTTGCTATGGTTGTTAAGAAAGCAAGAGGACAGTGTAGTTAATAATGTATTTCTGTGTTAGGTCCGTATGGTGGTAGTTAACATAAAACAATGTGCATACAGTTGAGTTGACTTTGTAACAGAAGTACTTATTATCAACGGACGGTTGGTGGAATGCGTCAGCCAAGGAAGAGCGTCAGTCGCAGTTATCAGCGTCTGGCAGCTGCGAGGCTGTCGTCGCTGACGAAGCTCCAACTCTTCCCCCGCAGCTCGCAGCTCGCCGGATGTGTCGTGATGACGAAGACTGACGACAAACAGTCCTTCCGGCCAAGTTCTGAGAAGTCCTGGAGTTCACTCAACTGAATGTTCATTCAACGTCCGTTTGCGATCGGTAGACCTAGACGGACTCTCAGTGGCAGGGTTAAGACTGGCCGGGACTGGTTGACCACCGTTTGCCTGGGACTGGTTGGCCAACACTTAAAAAACACATACAACTGCGCAAGTTTGCTTTGGTTAGGTTTGGTTGGACCCCAACTTCACTTTGGATGAAAAGGATATAACAGTACTTGCCAGAGTTGCGATTTTAATAGAAGTGTATGTTGCAAATTAACGTTATGTATGGTGCAGTTTTGCACCGGCATCTCACATTCACATATCTTGCAAGTATTGGACAACCAGTCCACAGGACTAGTGTAGGTTAGTGCGAGGACTATGAGTTGGAACCTTGACCAGCAGACCCTGGAGCTGACCCGTACAACCTACAACCGTCGCGATCCGTTCACAAACGCGAGTTATTGCCTGGGACAGGACGTGACCCTTTAGCCCTTAGCCTAATTAGGTACTAGACTGGGCTACCCCATTTTTAGATGTACAGTATTATGATGACTGGGTGCGCATTTAAAATGCTCGATTAGCATGTAGATAGCTAAATTTTAAGTCACTAACTATTAGAGGCATTAGAGACCGGGGGGGGGCTTTTAACATATTTCGTGTGCAATTATTACTTAAATTTTATCCCGCTCTCTAAAGTATTTGTTCCAAACCGTTTGGAAAAGTATTATTTTTAACTGAATCAGCATGTAACATACGCACATCATACTGCTTAACTAATAGTTTTTTTTACAAGTCGACGAAATAAATTCCATCTGTAAGATGTCTTATCTTATAGCAGGTAACATTCTTCAACCGAATTCCATATAACGCACAACACATATATACATGTTGTAAAATGTAGAACAACTCTATAAATAAATCATTACTGCACTTCCGTAAAGGATTCTGTTGTGGTTTTAGTTTATTTAACAGCACGAATTTCGGATTTCAAATAAACACGTACTCAAATACATCTGAAATAGATCATCTGTATATTTCAGGGAGTGCCATCGATTGCTTCAGATATTAAGACAGTTTTTCACTAATATTGCATATTAGATTGCTTAAACCGTTATTTACATGGCTCTTTCCATTGTAAATAAGCCCATATAATATGTCTGAACTTGCACGTTGTACAATTGTAAAATAAGTCAACAGTGTCTTGATAACTGTCGTTTTTGTCAGAGTCGTGAGTATATTTCGTTAATGATCTCATGCAAAAGTACATTACGTTACTTTTCCGTGTGTAGGCATTGCAAAGGGCAACTTTCCAGCCTATCAATACGGATGGAAAAGTACCTGTTTCTGTGTAGTATCATGTAAACTTATTTCCCAGTACCCTGGTGAAAGCGAGTTTTCTCGGCGAACCATCGTGTATGTGATTTATTGATGTCAAGTCCGCCTATTATGTTTGTGTTCCGAAGGTGCATTGCTCTAAAAGACGTAACTTACATGAACGGATAGACTAATTACACTAGCAATCAGTGTCCGAGCATTCGAGCAGTTAAAGCACGCGGAGCAAGACTGTTCTGTTGTCTCCTAGACACAGTGTTATGACTACGACGAATGGTTTATGACTTTGTACTGCAGTGCAGTTATTGTCCATACACCAAGTGCCTGACCGAGTACATGACCAAACAAACAACTGTTTAGTGTAGAGTCGCTTCTTATTGCTATTGCAGTACTTCGAGCGTAGAAGCAAATGGTGTGCAAATCAAAGAATGTAAGATATCTGAGAACTTTTGACACAATTGTTAATACAACAAGAATCATGCCTTGGGAGTGTTAATCAGAAACAACCGAGCCACAAAGTACGATAGCAGGGTTTCTGTCGCAAGAGTGAAATGTTAATAAATTAATCTTGGTTTAATGAAGGTCAAACACAATATATTAATAATCTGTGTTCGCTGGTCGCAAATAAAACTTATTTTGGATTTATTAATTCTTTTAGAAAATGAATTTATCTAGCACGTCATAATTTGGAAACAGCCAGATTCATCACGTATTCACTCACTGTCTATAAAAGGCTTTCTCTTACACAATAATGTTGACTCTCTTGTACACCATCGTACAAAATGTTACCACACATTAACAATTGGTTATTGGTATAAAGCGGTATCGGTGTGGTGTGTTGTTGGAGCACGCAGGTGTGCCGCTACATGCGGGTGTGACCGTTGATACAGCAACAACCGTAGCTGACTGGCTGATAACAGCAGCCCAGCAAACGTCGCTGAATAACTGAAATCATCAACCCTAGGGCCTGAGTCCGTCTATACAATTTTCAAATTATTATTCTCTATGCAATTGTTTACTAAACGAGAGTCCAATCGAAGTTCTCAAGAATATTACATACGCCTGATTAATAAATATAGTACCAGGAGACGGAGCTTTGCTCAGATTGAATTAAACATTTAATTGATAACGTAAGTTATTTAGCTAAATTAAAGATATTTATTATGTACGATAGTAGTGAAAAAGTGTTATTTGATACAAAGAACACACTTTAATTACACCTTTATAGATTGCTATAAAAATTACCTGTATCAGCTGTTTTATTAACTGCAACTACAAAAAGTATTGACGATAACATGGGCACTTTCAAGGGTTGTAGGGCGGAAACTGGATTTTCCCAGCCTTGTAACATGCTTGTAACCAACTCCAATCGATTTCTCGTGGCCAAATTAAAAATCCTCGGACGAAAATAAAAATTTTTACACACCTTTTTTTTAGATTATAGGATTTCTTCAGCCCGTGCAAATGTAGAGCTGTCAAATACTGTGCGTCTGCAATAGTTACGTTATATTTTTATCCTTTTAAAAATCATTACAACCTTTGATTGAAATCGCTTTGAAAATTACTGCAATTCCATGTTTATAGTCGTAAAATCAAAACAAATGAATAGTGCAAACACCAACATGTCCATATCTTTTGATGACTTAAAAGATGTAGAAATGAAATAACAACCCCTTAAAACCTAAACACAACCCACTGTAACTTAAATAAAATGTTAATGAGTTTTTCAGGCTTATTCTTTGTTGAACAAAATTTAATAAAAGTTATTCATAAGTTCAGATTTGTAAAACAAAGCTCCAGACCGGGATAATTTACATTACTTCAGTCTAGGCCTAGGCTGCGTCATTATTACTTGGATAAATCCATTGGTGATTGGTGGGATTTGAATCCGGAACCTCGGTGACTGAAGTCCCGCGCTCTACTACTAGATCGTCTAGCTTTTAATCAGACGTTACAATAGTATTAATTTATATTAATTTTTGGTAGTGGGTTTTAATACAGAATCGGAACGGGTATAATATATCAATTTCATGTTTCTACATTAGATAGACCTACTCTAAATCAACTTTTACAAGTTGTGTAACTACTAGTGGCATGTAGGGACACAAGTCCATAAAAAGCTCAAAATGTAAAACAACTTATTATTGTAGTATTCAAACAAACTAAGAATAACATTACTTTTTGTCAAGATGGATATCCGTGTACACTATATCTTTGTGTAAAAAACACTCTGTTTGCTTTGGTGGTTGTTATCATATATATTATAAATATGAAATCCAGTGCTTGTCTGTCGTATTTTGGTCCTTTATGCGTTACTAAACGACCATCCGATCGTGATGAAACTTTAGGGAAGTAAATAAGTACTATTATTCAAAATGAACAAAATTATTAGCCACATTGAGTCATATTTTATGGTTTTAGGGTTCCATTTCCCAGTTATCGAAGCCAATCGCGAAATTCCTATCCATCTGAATTGTCAGTTGACACGAAAACTTTTGGTTTGGTTTTTTATTGACAAAAAGTCTCAATCATAGATAACGTTATCCCTGATTTTACCTTTCATTTGAGCCCTCTACCGTCATTCTACGACCCCCAGTCGCCCACAATTTTGATGCAAAGAATCGACTTAAGTAATTAATATATAGATAGTGTATGCATAGTTTCTGTGACACTATACAATTATAATAAAAAGTTAATAGATGATATTGACAGTTTTACTGGTAATGACGCAATGATGACAGCTATTTCCGCGACGGACGAAGAGTCAAAATACACTTTTCTACGAGTAAGACAGATCACGCCATCGTCACCATGTCTGGCTGTCGTCAACTATTTTCAAATTATTGTTAATTTCTAACGACTCATCTAAATGGTTGGGCGTTGCAAGTGTTGGGTATGCAAAGAAATTTCTCTGAATTTGATTTGGAGTTACTGAAATAATTGGTAAAAACATAGTTTTTCATCTTGTTAGTAAAGCAACAAACAATATCTATTACGAATTCAAGTAAACGTACATTTTGACTGTGGCTACCAAAATTGAAGTGGACATAAAACAGTTGACAACAATAGATTTATGAAATCGTAAAAGGTGTATTTGATAATTATGCAGTTGTACGATTGAAAAGGATCAGTTATTATGCCTGAACGTGTTTTATTATTTGTCTGCGCGACCAATCGTTTAAAAATATTTATTTTTGAGTTAACCATATACTGAATGAAAATATAGTAAATATTGCCCAGGGACCAGGAATCAATCAACAGCTTTTATTTGATTCCTGTACGGTGTTGTCTGTTTCAGGTCGCTAGACTGAGGGAAGAGAACGCGCAGCTTCGCAAGATACTGGCCAAGCAGTCGCCACGAGATCGCAGAGTCTCCGAGGTATGATGTAGGCATACATTGCAGAGTACACTAGTACTCATAGAATTGATAAATTATACAAGTAGTCTAAGAACACAGTTATAAGTAATCTTTAGGCTTTTAGTGTACCCGGAGTTCATTTATCAAGAAAAAAGGCGCACACATCTGCGGGTCCTATGTACAGTATATCTAATGTGTACAATAATTACCATGCAACACTTACCTATGATAACTTTTGTTTGATTACATAGTAGACTAGGCTTGATTGGTAGGTTAGGGTTGATTGCTGTGTGCGATGATGAACTCTGCAAGCCAGAGGAAATAATGGAGAAAGTATTGTTTTTGTAAACATTTTTGGGTTTGAGTTATGCGTGGATATATCCTTTTTGGGCCCCCCTGAACACAGACACGTGTGTCTGTCTGTAGTCTGTCTGTGTGGATGTGTACATAATAGCTACAGACTACACCTTTGGTCCGATTTTGATGAAATTAGGTATGCAGGTACTAATCCTAACTACTACTAATCCTACTAATTTTTTTGAAATTTGTATTTTTAATGGGGATTTTCCATCAAATCTATTAGATAATGGAAAAATCAATTTTTTTGAAAATGGCATAAATGTTTTTTTTTTATTTAGTATGTTATAGCCCTTCAAATTCTGAAAATAAAATGGCATCAAAATGGCATCCCTCTCATTTCTGTACACATTAAGGCTTAAAAGTTATTGTCGCTTTATTATTTCCCCCTAAAAAAAACCAAAATAACGGTAAATCATTTCGAAAAAAATCCGGGTATTGATTAAAATTAGTATGTTATAGTCCTTATACAATTCTAAATATTGCAGCTCTCTAATGCTGTAAAAAATACGGTTCGAGAGTTATTGCAACTTGCGCTTTTCCTTATAAAATACCATAACTACTCCCACCACTTACCATGAAAAGCTAATGGGAGAAAGTATGTCAGATTGCTGATACAGTTTATTATCTCTACATCTAGATATTTATTTTCTTTTAACTTCTTATCAGTAGGCTTTAGCGTAGTAATCCTATTTCAATTCATTTGTTGACCAAATCTTAACACACCCATTAGCTCAAAGCTTCGAATTAACACAATTTCTGGATTAACAAACGCTGAGGTAAGTCTTATTGGGTTTACCGCATTAAATACAATTTGTTTATGTATATTTTCCGTGTCACGGGTTTGATTTAGTTTGGTAATAAAAAGTGACTGAAAAGTCAACTATTTTGTTAAGTGAATTCTTATAATATGAGCATTTAGTAAGCCTATGTTATAAGAAAACTCATACATGAATAATGCAACAAGTTTACAATTTGAGTGTTAAAGTTGAAAATATCAACACTAATTATTGTGAACAGGTAATATACGTGTACATTGAGTAGTCAGCGACACCCAAGTCGTACCTGTGACTACTGACTACTAGACTACTGACTACTGACTACTGACTAGTGACTAGTGACTACCGACTACCGACTAGGTCAAGGTCGAAGGTCACACACGTGTATGTCTACTCGACGGATGCCCAACACTTATCGTCAACTTATCTACTGTATCGTTATCAGTTGAAGATCGCCAAGCCGTTCCCACAGACCCACTTCCTTAATCGTTCATTAATAGTTGATCGCGCCGCGGTTTTGGTGATTTCCGTCCGATAAGATTGACATAGGTGGTAGCGCCTTAATTATGTAGATGTCAATTCTGTTCGTTTTCTTGGTAGGGAATTGTGGTTGTGACCAATGTTGCGATATCAGTATGCGAATAAAATCAAAATGGGCACCGGTAGTTGAAAAGAAACAAACAATAAACGACGTCTGCATAAACCAAGTAGCCAAGTAACATTGTAATTGTAATACTAACATTGTACATTGTAATATTGTGATTGTAATAGGCCGTGACTTACATAACACAAAGGTGCTGGGGTTTTCATATTTTGGCAGAGGACACACGTGTCGGGGGAGTTTGTGATCGAACACATGCCGTTATAACCTAACCGATTGCGAATTTCAGGTAAAAATTTAAAGTTTTAATTATTAATTAGCCACTTAGGTTAGATACCACATAATCACGTGGTTGTGAGGATGCTGGTCCAATCCCGACGGCATCGGTTGTGATAGCCTCAAAAGCAATTTTTCATTGGCCCAACAATAATGAGTCTTTTAAGGTCGGCGTTACAAGCCAGCGTTTACACCGTTCCTTAAAAAAAAAAAGAAAAAAACACGAACAAATGACATTAGCGAGTAATGAAACTTTGTTAAAACCCTAGTATTGCATTGATTCGTATTTTTTCTTACAGGAACAGTATATTTATGATTGGTATCATCACTTATCCAGGATTTAAAACTTGATATTGACTATATTGATGAGTTTTCGGATCTAAGACAATCAGTTTTTTAGAGTCTTTTTCGGGTCTTAATTGACTTAGTAATTAAAGAAAAAATCGGCGAACTTTATGCATAACTATGGCGTACTCTGTTTACTACTAAACTGCTGGACTGATAAGTGTGAGTTGTTCTTGTTGCAAAGGTTTTAAGCTAGAGTACGAATGTAGGTTTAGGCTGGAGGACAGCTGTAGATGATGGAACTGGTCTGAGCTGCGGGTACCTACACTACAGTTACACCTGCCTTGCTTGTACACTCACTGTCCAAACTTGACTGGTAATTATTTAGCTAGCAGAGTTTAAAACTCGAATTTACGATAAGCAAGGAGCAAGAACAACATTACAAGTGAAAATGTTGGGGGGGGGGGGGGGTTGGAAAAAAGGAATTCCCCGCCGGATGATGATACAGGATGTCTTTCAAATTTCCACAGAGTAATGTAAACATAATGTTTACAGAGAGCAACCAATGTTTCACTGAATTGTTCTTATTTATTTATTTGATCACATAATAGCGTTACACTTTCAATAAAATTGATACCATTAAATAAGTATTTAAATTATTTCAATTGATCTGGAAGACTTGGAACAGCGATTCGTCCGGTTCATTGTAATGTTAAATTTTCGACTATGCCACCCCACTTCATGATTCTACAGTTCAACTCTGTACCCTCACGTCAGCGTGTTGCGTGCTCACTGTAGTTGTTTGCCCAGTTGTACACGGTATTCTGTAGTCTGTAGCGTTGTGGTTGTGGGCCTAGCCGTCACACCTGGACAAATACAGCGATATAAATATGCCACTTACTTGTGTCTTGTGACTGGTGCGCACCTCTGTACTCCACTGTGAGGTATAAATGGGTATAAAACACAGAAAGTCCCTACTAACTTGTGAAGGACATGCAGAAACTATGAGTTTCGTTCAACATTAACATATGCAAATGTCATACTATACATAAAATCATACAATAGTTTTGTATTTGTTTGAAGACTCTACCGTGATTAATTTGAACTTCCAAATCTATTTGGAAAGGATCTCTCCGAAAGGACATAGTCATCATCAGACCTGACTCAGAGTATTATGAGGTATATTGCGAACAACATTTTCAATTTGTATCATTTCGAAACATGCACATATAAATTAACCTAACCTAACCGCCGCAGCGCGCTGTACGATAAGTGGCCTTCGTATAAACGAAAGTACCCACAGGTTAATGTCAGAACTCACAATTCGTATAGCGTAATATGACAGACTATATAATCTGTAATGTTTACTCTAAAGTCTGGTGGTAATATTATGGAAATTGTTAAATTATAATTGCTCAATCCAATGGCCACCATTAAAGCCGGGTAGGTTTAGTGCTCACATATGAAGTTGGTCAACGGTTTGGTACGGGAAACATTTCAATTTTTATGGTTTGAATCTGGATTCAAATTTTTTTTTATTTCCTGGTTAAGAAACAGCTGATGTTGGTCTGTAACAAAGCTACCATGATTAATTAATTTTTGGGTAAAACTAATCATGCCCAACTGTTTGGTTAAATCTTAAAGATTATCGTCACATGCATTACATTTACGCCAGTTTCATAACTTCTACCATTGACTATTGGATACTGAAGCTTGTACAGTAGATTTGTGACGTAGTACTCTAGCCACGCGCGTCTGACGAGCGACAACAATGCGCTGATGCGACGCGCTGTAGACGACCTCGATTTCATTATGCAACTGTCTGACTCTTGTAGAAATATACTTCCGGTACTTACACTACAGACTGCTATACACAGCAAACCTTGGAAATACCTAGGTATATCTATAGCCATTTGAATTTTGCCAATATTCCAAGTGCAGTAAAGCTCGTGTTTGAGTGTCTCTTTCATGGTAAAAAGCTTGCTTTGTTTTATAGCTAGATTTGAATTTTCGAATATTCCGAGCGCAGTAAAATCCTTTTCGAGTGTATTATTTATTAGAATTACCTGTATAACGCTCTAGCGACTTGAATTTTGCAAATATTACCATCGGTAAACTCATGGTGGAGTTAATTTTTGTGATAAGAAGTACTCGTATCATAGATTAAAGGAGTAGGCACTCCATTATGGAATTACCTATGTAACGCTCTATTGATCTGAATTTTACGAATATTTCGAGCGCAGTAAACTCATGCTTGAGAGTATTTTAGTTACAGAAAACTAAATACTTTTTGCTATCTCGGAACCGAAATGCACAGGCAGAAAAATAAGACCATGCGACTGTTTGTGTGGTCAAGATATATAGTTTAAAGCCAAATAGAAAGAGAACACTTGTATAAGCAAAGATGTATACGGCCACATACACGGGATGATGACTCTTGCCGTTGACTCTCCCTCATAAACAAACAAATCGGTGACTTGTTGGACAACTGGATGGTAGTGTACAGTTGACAAGGTGGTAGGGCCTATAGTGACGGATGATTCTGTCTGTGACCCGTGCCGGAAATGATATAATGGCCGTTGTTGACGTCGCAGACACCTGCGTCTCTGTGTGTGTCTTTGGGAAAACGGAGCACCTCTGGCCCTAATCAGCATATAGAAGTTTGGTTAGGTTGGTTAGGTTATGTTAAGTTAGATTATATAAATATGGCCCCTGAATTTACG